AGTTGTGAAATGAGAAGGCGCTTATTTTTTTTTTTTTTTTTTAAATCAAATTTAAAGGTTCGGTGGAAATATCGATCTAAATTATAAAATTCGACACGAACTTACGGGATGAGTTAATACAAGCAATTATTTATGTCGTTTCAATGAATACCTTGTCGAAGACCTTGAAGATGCTTCATGTGGCGAATAGCCATTTCAATTATCTCGGTCTTCTCTACTCTTCCTCGACCTTTCTTCAAGTACTCGGCCGGTATGAGTCTACTTAGGTCGGCCAAGCAGTTGTTCATACGGTCTCTTCTCCGTTTTTCGATAATTCTATGGGACATTGGATCTTGCTGTAACAGAATAAAAACATCGTCTTTTTAGAGATTTTAATTATTTTTCCATGATAACGGTTTTTTAATAATACAAGGGGTATCGTGTCGCTGCAATATCAGCGTGTACGAATTTAAAAAAATATCGTATCGTCGATAATATTGTATTTTTAGTATTATTTACTACAATTTATGACAATACGTTGTACGAGAAAATTGTTCACGTCGAATGAAATAAAGGGATATTCGAGATACGAAGAGAATTATCACACGTTCATCAGACACCAGTTCGCACCTTCAATGTCGTACGTTTCGGAATTTCTGTCGATTATCCGTTGTTTCCTCAATGTCGGTCAATGTTTAACCAAACTTTTGTAAACGAAAAATTTCGTGACGAATAACAGAAATAACACGATAATCTTGAACGAAGTATAAACTGAACATCTCGAAAGATTAATCTTAGCGAAATAAATTACACGTGTCAGTCAGATTCACTTGGTAAAAAGGAAAATATGTATCACCTCTTTATTCAAACACCGTCTTTTCCTAAGCGGCGGCGAGTGTGCTGCCGCATCGACGTGGCTGTTCGTCGGGTAATATTGCATGTTCAAAATGTTATCCATGCTGTGCGTCACCATCGTGTTTTCAGAAGCGAAACGCGCGAAAAGTAGCTAAGGTGTATATAACACACGTTGTATCCTTTTCTCACTTCCAAGTGTCACGATCGAACAACTTCGAATCACAGTTTAATAGAAGGCCACACTTCGCGAATTAATAAGAACCCCGGACGACACAAAACTATATTTTACGTCCAAGAATATTCTTACTTAGACACGCACACGTTTCGACGTTTTTTTGAAACACGCCTCTATATATCAGCCCCCGTTCGATGACGTCACTAGGTTCGAATCTCGACGAAAAATGTCTATTCGACGAACGATGTATACGTAACCAATTAACGATATAAATATGTATATATATTTCAACGAAGAAGCGGCAGCATAGAACTGTCACTGGAAACGAAATTGTCTTGAGTGAGAACTATCACAGATAAAATAGCACAGTAGATTATTCGAGTGACAAAAAGAATGCTGTTGATACCGATGTCGCGAAAACAGCGACGCTCGTAACACACTATGCGTGCTCCGGTATGGCACGAGTACGACTGCGATCCACGGCCGGCGGCGCTTACGTTCCTTTAACGAGGAGGGAGATGTCGCTCGACGATGACGCCGCCGCTATCACGTGTTGTAAACGCAACGTATAACGCCCAACACGTGAGGAAACACGTTTCACCGAGGAAGCCTGGCCGGGGAATTCTCTTCCGCGGCACTTTTCTGTCTCCTCTGCGAGAGACCACAGTGTGCACAACGGTTCAAACGATGCACCATAACATAAACGCTTGGCACGGGAAAAAAGTCATGACCTGGCCACGAGGAGCACGTTTTTTCTAGCCGGGAAGCGTGCAGAGTATATTGCCTTGAACCAGATACTGGCAACGGCCGCGAGTAGGCAGGCAGGCACGTGACACGATAGAATAAATTATTTTTCAGCGATACCATGAAATCGTGATCGTGGAGCCTAGCCAAATGTTTGCGGTTGCGGTTACCGGAATGATATTTTAGGAAGAGATGCACAAGAGTCGGACGAAACAGCCCGGAATTGGAATACAGATAACCGTTTTTGGACGAAATTCTATTGGAAATGAACCGGGAAACGAATAGGAACAATTTTTAGAACATTTACCACACATAACCTAGGTTAACTCGTTTGAAACAGGTATGTTGCTGATTTGAAGTTAAAGTGAAATGATTTGCTTCGTCGAATGATTAATTTTCATTGAACTGCAATTTTAAGGTACGTCGAGAATTTATCTGATTATTGCGTAAGATGAACAACCTCTTCCAACTTCTTGGCTAATCGCACCAGTAACCAATAAATGACGAACAAAATCCATCAACGATAAATTAATATGTTTAACATATCATAAACGCTTAATTATTCCCCCTTTACGTTACATTTTTCCTCATTCTTAAAACACCCCTGTAACACCTCCTAAATCCTTTTATTTCAAATTAAACTATTATCCTATCGTTACACCATCTCCAATCAACTCTTTCTTCTCATCCAAATGGTTCTTCCATTAGTTACATTATAAAATGAAAACATCGTCGTATTATCACGCAGATAACGTGCAATCCGAGCTCTATTTTCTCGCGAAATAAACTCGATACCAGCAGAGACTGGTGCGCGCGGCACCGTCTAACGGGTAACGAACGCTGCCGCGTCGCTGGCAGCCACGATACGTACAGCGAACCGTAATCAAGAATTGCTCGTTGACCCTCGACTACAAAGTTTTAACTTGTTCCACGAGATGCGTGCAGAACTGGGAAAGGAGCTGGATCGCGAAAAATCACTGGGGAACCGCTTTAACGGGGTCGAGTTATCAACATTCCGGTTATATCCGGACCGAGGAGAACTTTGCGGCTGACATCGAAGCCCATGTTATGGCCAGAGTTTATCGACAGCTTGACCTCCCAGTGTTTTTCAAACGATAACCGGGTATCACCGGATCTAGCAGCTTTTGCCACGGCTGGCAACAATAAACAGACGCTGTCAGCATCTCGTGAAGCTGTCTGCATTTGCGTCTACAGCAAAGATCACTTCGATAATACTCATTATCTGCGAATCGGTGATCGATTGAAACGCGTGCATGCACAGACGAGTCTATGTAAACACGCGGTAAGAAAGTATTGGCAGCAGCAGCAGCAGCAGACTGTTGAATCGGTCGGTCATTCAGAGACAGCGTAAGTCTCTCGGGGGTTCTTTATATTGTCAAGAAACTCCAGAAGAGGTCGCTGGAAGCTGAATGTCGTTGCATACAATTTCAAGATGAACGGAAGAAGAGATGTCTCTAAATATATATTTCCTTTTGTTGTGTTTGTTGCTGAGATGGATTTAGTACGTCAGAAGTTATGGATGATTATGATTTCAACATGAACCTTTTCCTTTCACCAACCCAATAATTATAAGCACAAGTTTTTATATAAAAATTCACGATAATTCTTTTATCGAGAAAACGAAACAGATTTTATCATTTCCACGTCGACTTATTCGCAAAATTCGTCAGATTAAAAATTCTTTCTATTTTATTTTTGCTAACTGGCAAAAATATTCAAGTTCAATACAACAGAAATTCCGAGCTGCTGAAATGAATGCTTATGCTAGTATAACTGACATTCCAAGTAGATAGGGTTACAATTGATTAGACGTTAAATTTCATTGAAGAGACGAAAGGGTTATCTAACTTGAGTAAACAGAACAATCACGGGAAAACAAGGATACACGTACATGAGTCGTTGACTTTAAGAAGCTTATTGCGAAACGTGTTTTTCATCAGTACCCGGAAACTCCGCCACCCACGATTAATTTACACATAGGCATAAAGAAAAATCCTAAGCGTGTTATTTGCGTAATATGAGCGTTTATCGAAGACTGTTTTTCTTTTTCGTATGGCAGACGATAAAAACGTATTGCTAATATGAAAAATCGTTTCCTTTGATGCTATCGAGTATCCTTTTTCACATAAGTCGTCTAATTCTGGACTGTCACAAATTGACGAATGATCACGTTGACTGTGGAAGGTGTATTTATGAGAACAAACATGTGACCAACGCTGATTACGAATGGTGTGTTCTGACTGAACACGTGCTGCTTTTTGCAAGTCTGACGGAACAGGCCACGTATTATTTCCGTTACGGACGTTCACCATAATGATCCTCCGTGGGTACAGAAATTTCATGCTTATTAATTTACTTCTAATTGAATTGAAAAATAGGGGAAATTGTGTAAATTACGTCACAATAGTCTCCCTGTTAATTCGATGTTTCCCAATTGAATGTTATCCCCTCCAAATATTGTTTATACGACTTATAGAGAGAACAGAAATCCTTCGAGAAGCGTAATCTCCATTGTAGAACCAGTATAATATTCGTAACAGTGTGCACGCTACAAATACGTTTGTGAAATAAAAATCTGCGGTATTAATAGATTTCCATGAGCGCAAGGAAACGCGATAAAATTGTATTAAAGTTCAAACTAATGAGCATTATTTTCCAGAATCGAATCTGCATCGCGTTGGTTCATAATATGATTAACCTCCGATCGGTTATCGAGGAAGCTCTATTATCGACTTCGTTAATGGCACCGCGCGAAGTCCAAGACGATATCCCATAACGACGCACATGCGTCTCATTCGCCGAAAGCTCATAACAATTGTTACGTCTACGTCAAGCCCTCGTGACGCTCCGTTTGCTCGTAATAAAACTCCAACGATACACGTGACAAGAGAAAACGAATTCCCCTTTTGTATCTCGATAAGCAATGGTAGGGGGCAGTGTAGGCAAAAAAGATGGGGAACGACGTTGCACCGCATGATCGACGATACAACGTTAACCGTATGTTTCAAACGTTCAAGACCATATAACGTGTTACAATAAACCAAACGTTATCGACGAGTATCTCGGTAACACATATTTAACAAAGAAATATATCGTCACGATAAAACTAACTTTGTAATTAGTCGTTTGTCAAAGAGTAACGTGAACACATAAATAATGTAAGAGAAATCGAGGGCGCCGTCGAGACGGGCATTCGGGTGGCCAGTCCGGATGTTTAGAGTAATAGGAATAGGCGATATCGGGCCCGAGGACCATAACGCCACGAGCATCGGCAACCAACCCTCGAGGCCCTTGGCGACGCATTTTTGGCAACGGCGGGGCAAAGGGGCTTTCCTAGTCGAAAAGCCAGTCTTGCTTCGAGAGTCGAACAGTGACGTTCTAACCAAGCCAACCCACACCTCAGCGAACAAAGCGTTTACCTTCAAATACGCGTCAATTCTTTCATTTTCCTTACAATAACCTCGAAATATTATAGGTGCAGTCAAAAAAATATCATCATTCAAGATTACTTTTTCCGAATGTTTCAAGCACATACTTCAATAATAAATGAAAAATATAGAA